ATGGGGAGAAAAAATATCAGTGAATCTATAATCAAATAATGTTATGATCCTGCATTCCTTTGATTCTGAACTAAATTTCTCCATTTCAGACCCCCGTGAAGATTGCTGTTGATGTGAGGGAAGAACGTTTGTTATAATCTAAACCTGAAACATACTAAACTTTATTATTCTGGATACTCTAGTGTGCAATTCTGTCTGTGGCCATGTTTCTGAATTAATAAAAAAGGAAGAAACAAAAAGACTTTTTTGATCTAAAGACATTTTGTTATCTAAAATAAGCAATCATTTGGTTTAGCTACTAATAACATGCCCTTATATGTAAATTCATTTTATTCTGCGTAGTAAAGAATCAATGACTTTCACCTGTGACATATTGATTGAGTAAATTGGCAGGTCTAGAGAAAAATGATGCTTGTCACGAGAGAGGTGGAGCCTTTCTGATTTACATCTGCATAAATTGGGATGGTAGCACCCTAATGTGTCATTGAAACAAGCTTGGCAATAATGGGGTTTTGGCAGGTTGGATTCGGATTGGTGTTTATTCTTGCACTTGGATTGTCTGAAGCACAATGGAGGGCAAGAGCAGCACATAATCGGAGTCCAAGCGAGTTTAGGCCTAGAACATTAGCTCAAGCTTCTCAACAGGCTGATTCCAGGATGTCTTTGGTTCCCAGTAACACTGCATTTGCACCACAAAGTTTTCCCGCTCAGTTTCCTGTCCAGACACCAGTCAGGACTGACTTTGGAAAGTCTTCTCAAGATCTTATGGGTGTTCAATTAAAAGAGCTGTTGCAGGGTCCAGTGGCGACACTGACGTGGAGTTTTCCAAGTCTACCAGAGGAACCGCAGCAGCCAGACGTTCCTTTTGAGTTGCCTTATCCTGTCCCTGCCAACAGTGTAGCTGCTCAGTGTGGAGAGAATTCAGTATATGTGGAAGTGATGAAGGACTTCTTTGGGACTGGGCACCCACTGTTGTCCTCTGGTTTTACACTGGGAGGCTGTACTGCAACTGGAGAGGATTCTTCTGCTCAAGTGCTGATCTTTGAGTCTGAACTGCATGGATGTAGCGGTACATCAATGGTAAGGTTCTGTTGTGACAATCATAGGTATTCTGAATTGTCCATGTGACTGTTCTTCTATTAACCTTTCTGTTTAGGTGACTGAGGATGAGCTTGTCTATAGGTTCAACATTATGTACACCCCACAAGAGGCTTCATATGGTGTTCCTATTGTCAGGAGCAGTGGTGCGGTGGTTGGTATCGAGTGTCATTATCCAAGGTGAGGATTCAATTAATTCAGGCTCACCCAATGTTCTAATCCTGCCGTTTATGGGCAAGAGATGACCGCTTGTTTAACTCCTACAGAACACATAATGTGAGCAGCGATGCCTTAATGCCCACTTGGATCCCATATGCCTCAACTGAGGTTGCAGAGGACGTCTTTGTCTTCTCCCTCAAGCTCATGACTGGTTGGTGTAGCCCATACAGATTTGTAGAATGCTTGTGAATCATCTGTTAAGATAATTATTTTACTTTTTTTTTTTCAGATGACTGGAGATTTGAGAGACCTTCTAACCAGTACTTCCTGGGTGACATGATAAATCTTGAAGCGTCAGTGCGTTTGTACAGCCATGTTCCCATCCGTGTGTTTGTGGACAGCTGCGTGGCTACTGCAGTCCCTGATGTTGCTTCTGTCCCCAGATACTCCTTTATTAAGAATAATGGGTAAGAGGTGCTACCTCATGTATCCCAGCTTCCATAAGGGTTGTGTGATTTCTAACTGGGTTCTGTTCACAGGTGCCTGGTTGATGCCAAGCTCACAGGCTCCACGTCTCACTTTATGCCCCGGACTCAAGGTGATAAGCTAGGGTTTCAGCTAGAGGCGTTCAGGTTCCAGCAAGCAGACAGTGGGCTGGTATGCATGTCCTGTAGTTGTGCAACTCTTTGTATGATATGCTGCCATGGTGTACAAACCATTGTCTCTGCAGGTCTACATCACATGCATTTTGAAGGTGGCTGCAGCAACCTCTCCAAGTTCTGAACAGAAAGCTTGTTCATTCTCTGCTAATGGGTATGTTGCCCGCTAAATAAGTGTACAGGTGAATTGGTTGCGTTAACTTATTTGAGGGTTTGTTTTGTCAGGTGGGTGTCTGCAGATGATTCTGACCAGGTGTGTGGCTGCTGTGACACAACGTGTAGCATCAGAAGTGGAAGTGATCAACTGCTTACAGGTTTGGACTAACTCTGATAAGTTGTTATTGTCATACATGGCTTTAGTTCTCACTAATCATTTGTTCCTCAGATCTACGCTGGGAAAGAGCATCTGTCGGCCCCATCAATGTTAAAGAATATGGCTATGGCCAAAAATAACTGGAAATGTCATGTGATTTTTAATAAATGTTGTTAAAATATTTGGGTTTTTTGTTGTCTTTACTTGCAGTTTACATGGTTTCTGTTCAGACATGTACCACAAAAAGCCTTATTTCTACTGGCCTAGATGAGGGACATCTTATTTCTACTGGCCTAGGGGGGGACATTTTTGCTCAAGTCATTTGTTGGGCTAGGCCTATTACAACACAAAAAGGCGGAAGTACCTGGATTTTGGCGTGTTCGCACCGCAGGAACTAGGAACGATTTTAGTTCTAGGAACTAATTTAGCTCCTCCTTCAGAGTAGGGTCTAAACCAGCAATATAGGAACTATCTGTGACGTAAGTGTACGCTGATTGGCCGAACGCACTATTATGCATTATTATAAAGGCTGTGTAAACACACAGATTATAGCCATTTATTTCAGAAACTCTACAAACATAGAAAACAGTGATAGATGGGCCTCTTAACCTTCACGCTGAGGGGAAAATCCAACGCAACTGAGGGGACCAAGCAAAACATGATTATGTATTTCTGCTCAGCTAGCAACACTGGACATGTGTACACTTTTTATTTATTTTTTTATTTACGTATAACAGTTCTTTCTAATAATGTATGAGACAGGGCTGTTAGACAAACCGTAAACTAATGAACATGGAGCATGCGAGCACTGTGTGCTTAGGCTCTGGCGTTGTCAAAATAAGTCACATAAGCGTGGCTTACGTCACTTCAGAGTTCCTACTGGCGGTGCAAATGCAACCAGGAAAACGTTCCTATGGGAACCATTCGTCCGTGTAGAACTACGCGGTGCGAAATCTCCCAGATTTGATGAAACTTCAGCTGTGTGTTAGCTGTAGGAAGCTGATGACATGGATGTGACTATTGTGAGTCAGTTATAGAGCCACCAAATGGCAGATGGAAGCATGTCACTTTCGTAAAGCAGACGTAAACCTGTGAAAGGATTCTTGAATACTGTTGTTATGGCAACGCATCAAACTTTTTATATTTCTTTTGGGTATTTCTGAGACTCTTAGCATGCTTCAAATTGCATGAAACTCGACACGCACACATCAGAGTTGTAAGCCAGTAGACATGGGCAAAGCCTTAAAAATGGGTGTGTAGGAGCGGCTAAGTAGCGTCACAAACTTCCCTGCCACAAAGTGGGTGGTTAGTTTTACCTACAGTCAACAAACTTGGTACATTACTGTATATTATTCTCATCGAGCCGGGCGACTTTCTAATTTACAGTCACCAACAGGAAGTTAGATATTTTTGTTTGAATGTGGATTTTTGGAATCAAGCTCTGAATTTTTAACTACTGCTCCAAGGAGCCTCATACGATTCACACCAAACTTTCTCAACATGATGCCAATATATTGAAGAGGCTACATTTCAAATGGGTCTCTTGAACGGAGTTGATGAAATAAAATAATGACAAAAAGGGAAACAGGAAGAGTCTCATATCTTCTAAATAACAAATTATACACCATTTATTTCTATATAAAATAATACAAATAAGAAGTAAAAATCACATTTTATTATTTTTCATAAAATGCATTTGTGCTATCTGGTTGAAATAAATAAAATAAAATGTAATACATAGTATAACCACTAGTGTGCAGCATAGGCCTATATTTAAACAGGGTTGAAAAAGCCTTGTTGCTGAGAATTTTTCAGACATAATTATCAAAAATGTTGAATTTTCTGGCTCAACTAACTGGTAAACAGTCTCTAACTCTTGAGAATCTTCCCCAAAGAGATGCTGAACAGGAGTCCTCAGAGCATTTTGACTGAGCTTTATCCCTGAGACTCCAAACATTATTCTTACTTCCTTCCTTGTTCATTCACTTTGTCTTTCAATCAGCTGTGACTCTGTCTGATTTGAATCAAATCATCAAACCTTGACCTGGTGTAAATACATTTTGGTACTTATAGATTGTTACTCAGTCTCTCTGCTCAAATCTATCAAATAGATTTTACTCTATCTCTCTGCTCAAATCTAGTACACCAAGTCTACACTGATGGATTACAAAGTTGTTTTCATTGCTGTTCTTGGTATTTATTTCTTTTATTAAAGCAAACATGTTATGAATATCGTTGCTGCCCTGCAGTGTGGACGTTTTTTTGTGAGTTGCTCAGTGTGTTAAATTGTGTATATTGTCTTTTTTTTTTTTTTTTTGCCTAACCATGTAACTTGCTAAGTTGGTAAAAGGTACAGGATTGTTTTTAAACGCAATTTAGCATTAAATTCCCCCCGATTTAGCATAAACTGAGCTTTGTTCTTTCTTCTGTATGTTCCCAATCCTAAAACTTACCTACCCCGTATATCAGTAATTGTCTCTCTGCACAGTTTGTATTACATTATGACAATTAAACAAAACTATTTATAAAGGTCACATTTTGTGTAAAGTGTATGAGAATATCCTATGCAGACAATACACAGTTACACACTTTAAAATGTTTAAACAGCACAGGGAATCAGAGCCTTCATAAAACCATCATCAATTATCTTTTAACAGCCAGTTAGTTTCCCAGGTGAACAATGTTTCATCTAATTAGTTATTTGCCCTAATTGGACTGATGAAGGCCTATAAAATACACTTATCTCCAGTTAGATATGTTTGCAATTGTAGTGTCTGTGTGGTGGTTTGAGAAAGTGAATGTTGGGGCATTGGAGTACTCAGGGTTTTTTGTTTGCCATGGATAAAGGGTGGACACAGTGAGTTTATTCAATCAATCTCGGTTTGTGAATGATTCAGCAAATAATTAATCTTCTTTATGTATTTTATATATTTACTTTTAGGTTACCCTTGTTTGTAATCTTCCTGCTCTTTTTGAGTAATACTCATGGATTTAAAGGTAAGATTAATGTTTTTGGTGTTTTTTTTTATATTTTCTCTCGTAAAGGATTTTAAATTGTGAGGTTTCTTTTTCTACAAGTCTTCTATTTTGTGTAATTCACAGGTGGGGCTCATTCAGATGCCCGCCACCGGTGGGGCCAAGCTTCAGACAGAACGTTCTCACCTCGTGCAGTCCAGTCTTCTGTGTCAGAGGTCCCTGTGACTGGGATTTTGCCTGAAGAAGTGGGCTCTAGTTTATTCGCTAACAGACCCCTGAAAAGGTTGAACTTACTCCAATTTGTTAAAGGTGGTGTTTCCAGCAGGCATGAATCAATGTCCCATGCCCAGACAGCTCCAAGCAGCTCTGTTTTAGCTTCCTTGCCTCTACCCTTAAATGAACGGCATGCAGGCCATTTGACATCGCTCCAGGGTTCCTCTGGATCAGCCGCTACAGATACTACTAGTGTTTCTACACAAGGAGAAAGTAGCTTCCCTGCCACACTTGGCACTTCTGGCCTGTCCACCAGTGATGAAAGCTCCCCTAGTTTGTACATGTCCAGCTCCCTGGAAACCTCTGGTGCTAAATCAGCAGAAGCCACTTTGCCTGTGTTCTCTCAGGAGAGTATCTCTTACAGCAGTTCATCTGCTCCAGGTGCCACGTACACTTCTCAAGGTAGCCCAGTGCTGGCTTCAGAAGGCTCTGGTCAATCCATCTCCCCTCAGGGTGAAAGCAGTTACAGTGGCTCGCCTCAGTCTCAAGGTGCCTCGAGTCAATATAACCCAGGCTCCTATAACATGCTCAGTTCTTCATCTGTTTCTAGTCAGTCTACCAGTGACCAGAGTACCCCCGGTTTGTATAGTTCTAGCTTTCAGGGAAGTTCGGGCAGTTTGTTGGAAGCTTCTGGCTCTTCTTTTCAAGGGGAAGTGGCAGGGCTTAGCTCTCATGTTGACTTGTCTCCCCAATCACAAGACAACTCCAGTCAGCTTCTACCCTCACAAATGGAGGTCTCTAGCCAGTCTACTAATGGTCAAAGCACTCCCAGCTTGTTTATGCTTGGCTCTGAGAGCAGTTCAGATTCACAGTCAACAGGTCCTGCTTCACCTCTAGACACTCAGGGTAGTCTCTCTCAAAGCATTTCTAGCCAGTCCACAAGCGTTCAAAGTTCACCTAGTGTGTCTACAAGCACCCAGAGCAGGTCTGCCACTCAATTAACTTCCAGTAATTTTTTTCCTGTGCAGGGAGGTAGTAGTTCTACTTCTAGCTTCTATCTGAAGCCTCAGGGCACTCTGGGTCTGTATGCCCCTGCGTCCCGTACCAAATATGTGAGTTCCCCCATGTCATCACACCCAGCTGTTTATAGCCAGTCAAAAAGTAGCTCTGGTCCTTGGTTTGGGGGCTCTACTGGCTTTGCCTCCCATGGAATAAGTAGCACTTACAGTGGTTCTGTCCAGCCTCAAGGTACCACAAGTCAGTTTGCCTCTGGGTCTCCATCCTACTATCCAAGTGTATCACTATCCTCGCCACAAGGGGCCTCCAGTCAGTCTGCTACAGTCCAAAGTTCACGGAAGCAGATTGCCTCTAGCTATGGCACCCAGTCAGGGTCCTCTAAGCCATTCACTCTGCAGGGAAGCTCCACTTATGGTGGGTCACTCCAGCCTCAAGGTACCTCAAATCAGTTTGCCTCTGGGTCTCCATCCTCCTATCCAAGTGTATCACTATTCTCACCCCAAGGTGCCTCCAGTCAGTCTGCTACAGTCCAGAGTTCACGGAAGCAGATTGCCTCTAGCTATGGCACCCAGTCAGGGTCCTTTAAGCCATTCACTCTGCAGGGAAGCTCCACTTATGGTGGGTCACTCCAGCCTCAGGGTACCACAAGTCAGTTTGCCTCTGGGTCTCCATCCTACTATCCAAGTGTATCACTATTCTCACCCCAAGGTGCCTCCAGTCAGTCTGCTGCAGTCCAGAGTTCACAGAAGCAGTTTACCTCTACCTTCACAGGCAACTCTGGCACCCAGGAAGGACCCTCTGTTCCCTTCAAATGGCAGGGAAGCACCACCTATGGTGGATCACTCCAGCCTCAAGATACCACAAGTCAGTTTGCCTCTGGGTCTCCATCCTCCTATCCAAGTGTATCACTATTCTCACCCCAAGGTGCCTCCAGTCAGTCTGCTACAGTACAGAGTTCACGGAAGCAGTTCACCTCTAGCTATGGCACCCAGTCAGGGTCCTCTAAGCCATTCACCCTGCAGGGAAGCACCACTTATGGTGGATCACTCCAGCTTCAAGATACCTCAAATCAGTTTGCCTCTGGGTCTCCATCCTCCTATCCAAGTGTATCACTATTCTCACCCCAAGGTGCCTCCAGTCAGTCTGCTACAGTCCAGAGTTCACGGAAGCAGATTGCCTCTAGCTATGGCACCCAGTCAGGGTCCTCTAAGCCATTCACCCTGCAGGGAAGCACCACCTATGGTGGATCACTCCAGCCTCAAGATACCTCAAATCAGTTTGCCTCTGGGTCTCCATCCTCCTATCCAAGTGTATCACTATTCTCACCCCAAGGTGCCTCCAGTCAGTCTGCTGCAGTCCAGAGTTCACAGAAGCAGTTTACCTCTACCTTCACAGGCAACTCTGGCACCCAGGAAGGACCCTCTGCTCCCTTCAAATGGCAGGGAAGCACCACCTATGGTGGATCACTCCAGCCTCAAGATACCACAAGTCAGTTCGCCTCTGGATCTCCATCCTACTATCCAAGTGTATCACTATCCTCGCCACAAGGGGCCTCCAGTCAGTCTGCTACAGTCCAGAGTTCACGGAAGCAGATTGCCTCTAGCTATGGCACCCAGTCAGGGTCCTCTAAGCCATTCACTCTGCAGGGAAGCTCCACTTATGGTGGGTCACTCCAGCCTCAAGGTACCACAAGTCAGTTTGCCTCTGGGTCTCCATCCTACTGTCCAAGTGTATCACTATTCTCACCCCAAGGTGCCTCCAGTCAGTCTGCTGCAGTACAGACTTCACAGAAGCAGTTTACCTCTACCTTCACAGTCAACTCTGGCACCCAGGAAGGACCCTCTGCTCCCTTCAAATGGCAGGGAAGCACCACCTATGGTGGATCGCTCCAGCCTCAAGATACCACAAGTCAGTTCGCCTCTGGATCTCCATCCTACTATCCAAGTGTATCACTATCCTCGCCACAAGGGGCCTCCAGTCAGTCTGCTACAGTCCAGAGTTCACGGAAGCAGTTCACCTCTAGCTATGGCACCCAGTCAGGGTCCTCTAAGCCATTCACCCTGCAGGGAAGCACCACCTATGGTGGATCACTCCAGCCTCAAGATACCTCAAATCAGTTTGCCTCTGGGTCTCCATCATCCTATCCAAGTGTATCACTATTCTCACCCCAAGGTGCCTCCAGTCAGTCTGCTACAGTCCAGAGTTCACGGAAGCAGTTCACCTCTAGCTATGGCACCCAGTCAGGGTCCTCTAAGCCATTCACCCTGCAGGGAAGCACCACCTATGGTGGATCACTCCAGCCTCAAGATACCTCAAATCAGTTTGCCTCTGGGTCTCCATCCTCCTATCCAAGTGTATCACTATTCTCACCCCAAGGTGCCTCCAGTCAGTCTGCTACAGTCCAGAGTTCACGGAAGCAGTTCACCTCTAGCTATGGCACCCAGTCAGGGTCCTCTAAGCCATTCACCCTTCAGGGAAGCACCACCTATGGTGGATCACTCCAGCCTCAAGATACCACAAGTCAGTTTGCCTCTGGGTCTCCATCCTCCTATAATGGTCATTGTGTATCGTTGTCCTCGCCCCAAGGTGTTGCCGACCAGTCCAGCCAAGCATTTCAAAGCTTTTCTGGGTCCCAAAGCCAAAAGTCTCAAAGATGGCAGCCTTCACGAGGTATTCAGACCTCAGGTGCAGCTGCATCACAGGGCAGCTCTCTGTCTCAAAGCTCTCCAATGCAGAGTTTGTTTCCTTCCCTGTCATCAGCAGGAGGCTCATCTTCAGGAGATCCTGGACCGTTTGTTTCTGCACAGGGTGGTAGCAGCAGATATGGTGGCTTTTCTCTTCATTCTCAAAGCCCCTCTAGCAAGTACACCCCTGGGTCTCATGCATATGCCAAGCTTGCTTCCTCTCCCCTAGCTGTTTCTAGCCAGTCTACCAGTGATAAGCGGTCAAATGGCCTGTATAGCTCAGACTCTCTGCGAACCCTGGGTCTCATTGGTGTAGTTGAAAGACCCTCTAGACTCCCATCTCAAGCTCCTTCTGACTCTACAAGCAGTAACCAGATATCTGAGCATTTTGTGGCCATGCAACGCCCCACAGGTTCAAACCTAACTCCATCTCTAGGCTTGAGTGCCCAAGCATCATCTGTTGGCATGTTCTCTGGTATCCCACAGACTGCGCAGGCTCTACGTGAATCTGGGTCAGATGTCCAGCTATACAATCGACCATTCCTCAATCAGCTATACTCCGTAAAGGGCTAAGGGACTCTATAAAACAGCTACATTATGCAAAGTGATGTCTTCCAGAATATAAAATCTAATAAATGTTTGTAACAGGTTTTTTTCTTGTGCTGTTTTGTGTTTAAGCTACATTCAAAGGATAGAACCTCAAATTTGAATGTTTTTGCACTTATGCCAGATCTATTAATATTCATTGGTTTGTCCATTGATTCAAATAAAGAATTTAATACATGGTTGATCAAATTAAGTTTATTGGGCAAGTGAAAAACCATTGCAAAAATGATCTACTGGCCAGAGATTCAAATCAATAACTTTACTGAACTTAACCTGAGGTTAAAAACTGAAGATTAAAAATAGCTTCTAGACTAAAAGATTTGTTATAAACTGAAGTCTGTGTAGTAGTTGGTGGGGCTACAGGGTTTAAGTGGGAGAAACCAATGTGCCAAAGTTCACTTCTTAACATCCCATCTTACAGCTGAAGATTCCCAGCGAGAGGAAAATGTCAGGACAAAAACAATAAAATCCTGCCCTCTTTGTCTGGTCCATAACATGTTTGGTCCATTGTACTTAAGAAATTCAGTGTTTGATATACCATGCCGATAGAAATGGACAACATGTTCTCATGAGTATTCGTATGTATTTTGCCACACGTACATTTACTTGTGTTCCCATAGACACTGAAACCTACAATATTGACGTATTGACAGGACTATAACATCAATTATTTACGTATGAACAACTTTACAGACTTACAAATGTGTATAAAATCCTTATTTATGAACATTAAAATTGTGGCAATATCTCGATTCTATTGTATTCAATTGTCATATAAATGACATTATGTTTTCAGTCACATTTATGAGAAACTGTTTACTCATCCACTTAATTTGGGGTCATTAACCTGCTCAAAAACACTTTGCACACGTTGAAATTGTCGGCCATCAGGGTCACTGATGACACAAGTGACCACACAAGATGACATGGTGGGGTCATGGGTTGTATTTGAGGGGCTCTGTAGCACACCCCTTTTTACCTAAAGTAGCCAAACTTCATACACTTATTGATCTCATTGGGCCAAACAAATTTTCGATCAGATTTTCAATATCCCGAACGGTTTGGCTGTGGCAAGGCAACAAATTTATGGCAAAAAAAAAGGAAACAGGAAGTGTGTTATAACTTCTGCATACATTGTGTCACCGAGGCTCACCCCAATCGACCTGATGGTGGTGCTACAATGATCAAAAGTACATAATGGGTCATAAATCCTAAACCATTTGTCACAGGCTCAAGTGTCTTATATCATTGGAATCCTTGACAGAAAGCATGTCTTGGAATGATGTCATACTGGTAAAATTCAGGGGAATGTTTTCAAGAAACCTGTATACTTTTGTGAGCTAAACCTAGGTTTTTTGCCCGATCGGAACCAAACACATGCAAAAAGATTCTCTAGAGTCTGGTTGTCCATTATCAAGCCAATTTCCATTCACATTTGCAACAGGGCGCCAGAATGTTTGACGTGGGCGTGGTTACTTCTACTAAAACGACCATCCCTCTTGTACACATGTATGGGCTCAGTCTGGGGTCGTGTGAAAAATGACGTGGTGACTAGGGGTAGGAATCACAGGATAGGCTACGAAAGTTATCTTTGTAGATATCATTCTTTGTGTGAACAGGCCTTTATTGTTTACATTAGGTAGTACACATGCACAAATCAGGATGACTGATAAAAATGAAAGATTGAGAAGGGTATATAGATATGTTCAGAATAGCATACTACCATAACATGCAAATTATCCCAGAATGCAACACACTGTACCTTCCATGAGAAATTTAATTCTCATGTTTTGATCCAACTGCAGACGTAAATACATTTTTACACAAAATTAAATAAAAAATGCAAAAACAGCTTTTTATTTCTTTGATGATTGCGGAACGTAAATTGCTGAATTAAACAAACAACGTTTATGGTTGTTCTGTTTGACAAACTATTTTAAAAAGTATGGCTCCGTCCGAAATCACATAGCTACTTTGAACTACATAGACTTTGAACTTAAACATGACTGGGGCATCTATTATTGTAGGCTACTCGCACTGATTTCCACCATCCCGATAAAAGCCTCTTTTTCTTAGGCTAGTTAACTTATGTCCACGTTTCACGTTTACATGTTGAGCGCCACCTCGAGGACCCATGAAGTAGCGACGCTGGGAGCAGGGAAATCTATTTAGAGCGCCTTATTTTATTTAAAAAAATATCGCTATTTGACGCCAGCGTATCGATTATCGTATCGCACAGAGCATCAAGGCGTTCCTCCTAAACTTACAGCTCCTCTGGGTAGACCCATGCAGGAAGTCTAAGTTATTTGCCTTCAAGAGCACCTGAGGGGCCTGACAGAGCCCACCAGTCCTACTCTCCATCGTCGTCCTCCTCAGTTTCTACGGAGAAAGGGACCGCTATAGTGACCGAGATCACTGTGCTGCTTCACAAACTATTTGTGAACTTAACTATATTTTCTTTAACATTCTCCAGCATGTTTTAATGTGTGCTATGTCATGTTTCAAACGCCAACATTTTTTTAAGTTCTTAATGTCTAATGAGCTTAACTTTTGTATTTTAAATTAAATTGTTTTAGTAGACTGTTCAGATTATAGTCTTTCAGTGCTGAGCAGCGTATAGTATGCCACAAACACTCTGATCAACCTAAACATAACAGTTGCAATGGGGAGAAAAAATATCAGTGAATCTATAATCAAATAATGTTATGATCCTGCATTCCTTTGATTCTGAACTAAATTTCTCCATTTCAGACCCCCGTGAAGATTGCTGTTGATGTGAGGGAAGAACGTTTGTTATAATCTAAACCTGAAACATACTAAACTTTATTATTCTGGATACTCTAGTGTGCAATTCTGTCTGTGGCCATGTTTCTGAATTAATAAAAAAGGAAGAAACAAAAAGACTTTTTTGATCTAAAGACATTTTGTTATCTAAAATAAGCAATCATTTGGTTTAGCTACTAATAACATGCCCTTATATGTAAATTCATTTTATTCTGCGTAGTAAAGAATCAATGACTTTCACCTGTGACATATTGATTGAGTAAATTGGCAGGTCTAGAGAAAAATGATGCTTGTCACGAGAGAGGTGGAGCCTTTCTGATTTACATCTGCATAAATTGGGATGGTAGCACCCTAATGTGTCATTGAAACAAGCTTGGCAATAATGGGGTTTTGGCAGGTTGGATTTGGATTGGTATTTATTCTTGCACTTGGATTGTCTGAAGCACAATGGAGGGCAAGAGCAGCACATAATCGGAGTCCAAGCGAGTTTAGGCCTAGAACATTAGCTCAAGCTTCTCAACAGGCTGATTCCAGGATGTCTTTGGTTCCCAGTAACACTGCATTTGCACCACAAAGTTTTCCCGCTCAGTTTCCTGTCCAGACACCAGTCAGGACTGACTTTGGAAAGTCTTCTCAAGATCTTATGGGTGTTCAATTAAAAGAGCTGTTGCAGGGTCCAGTGGCGACACTGACGTGGAGTTTTCCAAGTCTACCAGAGGAACCGCAGCAGCCAGACGTTCCTTTTGAGTTGCCTTATCCTGTCCCTGCCAACAGTGTAGCTGCTCAGTGTGGAGAGAATTCAGTATATGTGGAAGTGATGAAGGACTTCTTTGGGACTGGGCACCCACTGTTGTCCTCTGGTTTTACACTGGGAGGGTGTACTGCAACTGGAGAGGATTCTTCTGCTCAAGTGCTGATCTTTGAGTCTGAACTGCATGGATGTAGCGGTACATCAATGGTAAGGTTCTGTTGTGACAATCATAGGTATTTTGAATTGTCCATGTGACTGTTCTTCTATTAACCTTTCTGTTTAGGTGACTGAGGATGAGCTTGTCTATAGGTTCAACATTATGTACACCCCACAAGAGGCTTCATATGGTGTTCCTATTGTCAGGAGCAGTGGTGCGGTGGTTGGTATCGAGTGTCATTATCCAAGGTGAGGATTCAATTAATTCAGGCTCACCCAATGTTCTAATCCTGCCGTTTATGGGCAAGAGATGACCGCTTGTTTAACTCCTACAGAACACATAATGTGAGCAGCGATGCCTTAATGCCCACTTGGATCCCATATGCCTCAACTGAGGTTGCAGAGGACGTCTTTGTCTTCTCCCTCAAGCTCATGACTGGTTGGTGTAGCCCATACAGATTTGTAGAATGCTTGTGAATCATCTGTTAAGATAATTATTTTACTTTTTTTTTTTCAGATGACTGGAGATTTGAGAGACCTTCTAACCAGTACTTCCTGGGTGACATGATAAATCTTGAAGCGTCAGTGCGTTTGTACAGCCATGTTCCCATCCGTGTGTTTGTGGACAGCTGCGTGGCTACTGCAGTCCCTGATGTTGCTTCTGTCCCCAGATACTCCTTTATTGAGAATAATGGGTAAGAGGTGCTACCTCATGTATCCCAGCTTCCATAAGGGTTGTGTGATTTCTAACTGGGTTCTGTTCACAGGTGCCTGGTTGATGCCAAGCTCACAGGCTCCACGTCTCACTTTATGCCCCGGACTCAAGGTGATAAGCTAGGGTTTCAGCTAGAGGCGTTCAGGTTCCAGCAAGCAGACAGTGGGCTGGTATGCATGTCCTGTAGTTGTGCAACTCTTTGTATGATATGCTGCCATGGTGTACAAACCATTGTCTCTGCAGGTCTACATCACATGCATTTTGAAGGTGGCTGCAGCAACCTCTCCAAGTTCTGAACAGAAAGCTTGTTCATTCTCTGCTAATGGGTATGTTGCCCGCTAAATAAGTGTACAGGTGAATTGGTTGCGTTAACTTATTTGAGGGTTTGTTTTGTCAGGTGGGTGTCTGCAGATGATTCTGACCAGGTGTGTGGCTGCTGTGACACAACGTGTAGCATCAGAAGTGGAAGTGATCAACTGCTTACAGGTTTGGACTAACTCTGATAAGTTGTTATTGTCATACATGGCTTTAGTTCTCACTAATCATTTGTTCCTCAGATCTACGCTGGGAAAGAGCATCTGTCGGCCCCATCAATGTTAAAGAATATGGCTATGGCCAAAAATAACTGGAAATGTCATGTGATTTTTAATAAATGTTGTTAAAATATTTGGGTTTTTTGTTGTCTTTACTTGCAGTTTACATGGTTTCTGTTCAGACATGTACCACAAAAAGCCTTATTTCTACTGGCCTAGATGGGGGACATCTTATTTCTACTGGCCTAGGGGGGGACATTTTTGCTCAAGTCATTTGTTGGGCTAGGCCTATTACAACACAAAAAGGCGGAAGTACCTGGATTTTGGCGTGTTCGCACCGCAGGAACTAGGAACGATTTTAGTTCTAGGAACTAATTTAGCTCCTCCTTCAGAGTAGGGTCTAAACCAGCAATATAGGAACTATCTGTGACGTAAGTGTACGCTGATTGGCCGAACGCACTATTATGCATTATTATAAAGGCTGTGTAAACACACAGATTATAGCCATTTATTTCAGAAACTCTACAAACATAGAAAACAGTGATAGATGGGCCTCTTAACCTTCACGCTGAGGGGAAAATCCAACGCAACTGAGGGGACCAAGCAAAACATGATTATGTATTTCTGCTCAGCTAGCAACACTGGACATGTGTACACTTTTTATTTATTTTTTTATTTACGTATAACAGTTCTTTCTAATAATGTATGAGACAGGGCTGTTAGACAAACCGTAAACTAATGAACATGGAGCATGCGAGCACTGTGTGCTTAGGCTCTGGCGTTGTCAAAATAAGTCACATAAGCGTGGCTTACGTCACTTCAGAGTTCCTACTGGCGGTGCAAATGCAACCAGGAAAACGTTCCTATGGGAACCATTCGTCCGTGTAGAACTACGCGGTGCGAAATCTCCCAGATTTGATGAAACTTCAGCTGTGTGTTAGCTGTAGGAAGCTGATGACATGGATGTGACTATTGTGAGTCAGTTATAGAGCCACCAAATGGCAGATGGAAGCATGTCACTTTCGTAAAGCAGACGTAAACCTGTGAAAGGATTCTTGAATACTGTTGTTATGGCAACGCATCAAACTTTTTATATTTCTTTTGGGTATTTCTGAGACTCTTAGCATGCTTCAAATTGCATGAAACTCGACACGCACACATCAGAGTTGTAAGCCAGTAGACATGGGCAAAGCCTTAAAAATGGGCGTGTAGGAGCGGCTAAGTAGCGTCACAAACTTCCCTGCCACAAAGTGGGTGGTTAGTTTTACCTACAGTCAACAAACTTGGTACATTACTGTATATTATTCTCATCGAGCCGGGCGACTTTCTAATTTACAGTCACCAACAGGAAGTTAGATATTTTTGTTTGAATGTGGATTTTTGGAATCAAGCTCTGAATTTTTAACTACTGCTCCAAGGAGCCTCATACGATTCACACCAAACTTTCTCAACATGATGCCAATATATTGAAGAGGCTACATTTCAAATGGGTCTCTTGAACGGAGTTGATGAAATAAAATAATGACAAAAAGGGAAACAGGAAGAGTCTCATATCTTCTAAATAACAAATTATACACCATTTATTTCTATATAAAATAATACAAATAAGAAGTAAAAATCACATTTTATTATTTTTCATAAAATGCATTTGTGCTATCTGGTTGAAATAAATAAAATAAAATGTAATACATAGTATAACCACTAGTGTGCAGCATAGGCCTATATTTAAACAGGGTTGAAAAAGCCTTGTTGCTGAGAATTTTTCAGACATAATTATCAAAAATGTTGAATTTTCTGGCTCAACTAACTGGTAAACAGTCTCTAACTCTTGAGAATCTTCCCCAAAGAGATGCTGAACAGGAGTCCTCAGAGCATTTTGACTGAGCTTTATCCCTGAGACTCCAAACATTATTCTTACTTCCTTCCTTGTTCATTCACTTTGTCTTTCAATCAGCTGTGACTCTGTCTGATTTGAATCAAATCATCAAACCTTGACCTGGTGTAAATACATTTTGGTACTTATAGATTGTTACTCAGTCTCTCTGCTCAAATCTATCAAATAGATTTTACTCTATCTCTCTGCTCAAATCTAGTACACCAAGTCTACACTGATGGATTACAAAGTTGTTTTCATTGCTGTTCTTGGTATTTATTTCTTTTATTAAAGCAAACATGTTATGAATATCGTTGCTGCCCTGCAGTGTGGACGTTTTTTTGTGAGTTGCTCAGTGTGTTAAATTGTGTATATTGTCTTTTTTTTTTTTTTTTGCCTAACCATGTAACTTGCTAAGTTGGTAAAAGGTACAGGATTGTTTTTAAACGCAATTTAGCATTAAATTCCCCCCGATTTAGCATAAACTGAGCTTTGTTCTTTCTTCTGTATGTTCCCAATCCTAAAACTTACCTACCCCGTATATCAGTAATTGTCTCTCTGCACAGTTTGTATTACATTATGACAATTAAACAAAACTATTTATAAAGGTCACATTTTGTGTAAAGTGTATGAGAATATCCTATGCAGACAATACACAGTTACACACTTTAAAATGTTTAAACAGCACAGGGAATCAGAGCCTTCATAAAACCATCATCAATTATCTTTTAACAGCCAGTTAGTTTCCCAGGTGAACAATGTTTCATCTAATTAGTTATTTGCCCTAATTGGACTGATGAAGGCCTATAAAATACACTTATCTCCAGTTAGATATGTTTGCAATTGTAGTGTCTGTGTGGTGGTTTGAGAAAGTGAATGTTGGGGCATTGGAGTACTCAGGGTTTTTTGTTTGCCATGGATAAAGGGTGGACACAGTGAGTTTATTCAATCAATCTCGGTTTGTGAATGATTCAGCAAATAATTAATTTTCTTTATGTATTTTATATATTTACTTTTAGGTTACCCTTGTTTGTAATCTTCCTGCTCTTTTTGAGTAATACTCATGGATTTAAAGGTAAGATTAATGTTTTTGGTGTTTTTTTTTATATTTTCTCTCGTAAAGGATTTTAAATTGTGAGGTTTCTTTTTCTACAAGTCTTCTATTTTGTGTAATTCACAGGTGGGGCTCATTCAGATGCCCGCCACCGGTGGGGCCAAGCTTCAGACAGAACGTTCTCACCTCGTGCAGTCCAGTCTTCTGTGTCAGAGGTCCCTGTGACTGGGATTTTGCCTGAAGAAGTGGGCTCTAGTTTATTCGCTAACAGACCCCTGAAAAGGTTGAACTTACTCCAATTTGTTAAAGGTGGTGTTTCCAGCAGGCATGAATCAATGTCCCATGCCCAGACAGCTCCAAGCAGCTCTGTTTTAGCTTCCTTGCCTCTACCCTTAAATGAACGGCATGCAGGCCGTTTGACATCGCTCCAGGGTTCCTCTGGATCAGCCGCTACAGATACTACTAGTGTTTCTACACAAGGAGAAAGTAGCTTCCCTGCCACACTTGGCACTTCTGGCCTGTCCACCAGTGATGAAAGCTCCCCTAGTTTGTACATGTCCAGCTCCCTGGAAACCTCTGGTGCTAAATCAGCAGAAGCCACTTTGCCTGTGTTCTCTCAGGAGAGTATCTCTTACAGCAGTTCATCTGCTCCAGGTGCCACGTACACTTCTCAAGGTAGCCCAGTGCTGGCTTCAGAAGGCTCTGGTCAATCCATCTCCCCTCAGGGTGAAAGCAGTTACAGTGGCTCGCCTCAGTCTCAAGGTGCCTCGAGTCAATATAACCCAGGCTCCTATAACATGCTCAGTTCTTCATCTGTTTCTAGTCAGTCTACCAGTGACCAGAGTACCCCCGGTTTGTATAGTTCTAGCTTTCAGGGAAGTTCGGGCAGTTTGTTGGAAGCTTCTGGCTCTTCTTTTCAAGGGGAAGTGGCAGGGCTTAGCTCTCATGTTGACTTGTCTCCCCAATCACAAGACAACTCCAGTCAGCTTCTACCCTCACAAATGGAGGTCTCTAGCCAGTCTACTAATGGTCAAAGCACTCCCAGCTTGTTTATGCTTGGCTCTGAGAGCAGTTCAGATTCACAGTCAACAGGTCCTGCTTCACCTCTAGACACTCAGGGTAGTCTCTCTCAAAGCATTTCTAGCCAGTCCACAAGCGTTCAAAGTTCACCTAGTGTGTCTACAAGCACCCAGAGCAGGTCTGCCACTCAATTAACTTCCAGTAATTTTTTTCCTGTGCAGGGAGGTAGTAGTTCTACTTCTAGCTTCTATCTGAAGCCTCAGGGCACTCTGGGTCTGTATGCCCCTGCGTCCCGTACCAAATATGTGAGTTCCCCCATGTCATCACACCCAGCTGTTTATAGCCAGTCAAAAAGTAGCTCTGGTCCTTGGTTTGGGGGCTCTACTGGCTTTGCCTCCCATGGAATAAGTAGCACTTACAGTGGTTCTGTCCAGCCTCAAGGTACCACAAGTCAGTTTGCCTCTGGGTCTCCATCCTACTATCCAAGTGTATCACTATCCTCGCCACAAGGGGCCTCCAGTCAGTCTGCTACAGTCCAAAGTTCACGGAAGCAGATTGCCTCTAGCTATGGCACCCAGTCAGGGTCCTCTAAGCCATTCACTCTGCAGGGAAGCTCCACTTATGGTGGGTCACTCCAGCCTCAAGGTACCTCAAATCAGTTTGCCTCTGGGTCTCCATCCTCCTATCCAAGTGTATCACTATTCTCACCCCAAGGTGCCTCCAGTCAGTCTGCTACAGTCCAGAGTTCACGGAAGCAGATTGCCTCTAGCTATGGCACCCAGTCAGGGTCCTCTAAGCCATTCACTCTGCAGGGAAGCTCCACTTATGGTGGGTCACTCCAGCCTCAGGGTACCACAAGTCAGTTTGCCTCTGGGTCTCCATCCTACTATCCAAGTGTATCACTATTCTCACCCCAAGGTGCCTCCAGTCAGTCTGCTGCAGTCCAGAGTTCACAGAAGCAGTTTACCTCTACCTTCACAGGCAACTCTGGCACCCAGGAAGGACCCTCTGTTCCCTTCAAATGGCAGGGAAGCACCACCTATGGTGGATCACTCCAGCCTCAAGATACCACAAGTCAGTTTGCCTCTGGGTCTCCATCCTCCTATCCAAGTGTATCACTATTCTCACCCCAAGGTGCCTCCAGTCAGTCTGCTACAGTACAGAGTTCACGGAAGCAGTTCACCTCTAGCTATGGCACCCAGTCAGGGTCCTCTAAGCCATTCACCCTGCAGGGAAGCACCACTTATGGTGGATCACTCCAGCTTCAAGATACCTCAAATCAGTTTGCCTCTGGGTCTCCATCCTCCTATCCAAGTGTATCACTATTCTCACCCCAAGGTGCCTCCAGTCAGTCTGCTACAGTCCAGAGTTCACGGAAGCAGATTGCCTCTAGCTATGGCACCCAGTCAGGGTCCTCTAAGCCATTCACCCTGCAGGGAAGCACCACCTATGGTGGATCACTCCAGCCTCAAGATACCTCAAATCAGTTTGCCTCTGGGTCTCCATCCTCCTATCCAAGTGTATCACTATTCTCACCCCAAGGTGCCTCCAGTCAGTCTGCTGCAGTCCAGAGTTCACAGAAGCAGTTTACCTCTACCTTCACAGGCAACTCTGGCACCCAGGAAGGACCCTCTGCTCCCTTCAAATGGCAGGGAAGCACCACCTATGGTGGATCACTCCAGCCTCAAGATACCACAAGTCAGTTCGCCTCTGGATCTCCATCCTACTATCCAAGTGTATCACTATCCTCGCCACAAGGGGCCTCCAGTCAGTCTGCTACAGTCCAGAGTTCACGGAAGCAGATTGCCTCTAGCTATGGCACCCAGTCAGGGTCCTCTAAGCCATTCACTCTGCAGGGAAGCTCCACTTATGGTGGGTCACTCCAGCCTCAAGGTACCACAAGTCAGTTTGCCTCTGGGTCTCCATCCTACTATCCAAGTGTATCACTATTCTCACCCCAAGGTGCCTCCAGTCAGTCTGCTGCAGTACAGACTTCACAGAAGCAGTTTACCTCTACCTTCACAGTCAACTCTGGCACCCAGGAAGGACCCTCTGCTCCCTTCAAATGGCAGGGAAGCACCACCTATGGTGGATCGCTCCAGCCTCAAGATACCACAAGTCAGTTCGCCTCTGGATCTCCATCCTACTATCCAAGTGTATCACTATCCTCGCCACAAGGGGCCTCCAGTCAGTCTGCTACAGTCCAGAGTTCACGGAAGCAGTTCACCTCTAGCTATGGCACTCAGTCAGGGTCCTCTAAGCCATTCACCCTGCAGGGAAGCACCACCTATGGTGGATCACTCCAGCCTCAAGATACCTCAAATCAGTTTGCCTCTGGGTCTCCATCATCCTATCCAAGTGTATCACTATTCTCACCCCAGGGTGCCTCCAGTCAGTCTGCTACAGTCCAGAGTTCACGGAAGCAGTTCACCTCTAGCTATGGCACCCAGTCAGGGTCCTCTAAGCCATTCACTCTGCAGGGAAGCTCCACTTATGGTGGGTCACTCCAGCCTCAGGGTACCACAAGTCAGTTTGCCTCTGGGTCTCCATCCTACTATCCAAGTGTATCACTATTCTCACCCCAAGGTGCCTCCAGTCAGTCTGCTGCAGTCCAGAGTTCACAGAAGCAGTTTACCTCTACCTTCACAGGCAACTCTGGCACCCAGGAAGGACCCTCTGTTCCCTTCAAATGGCAGGGAAGCACCACCTATGGTGGATCACTCCAGCCTCAAGATACCTCAAATCAGTTTGCCTCTGGGTCTCCATCCTCCTATCCAAGTGTATCACTATTCTCACCCCAAGGTGCCTCCAGTCAGTCTGCTACAGTCCAGAGTTCACGGAAGCAGTTCACCTCTAGCTATGGCACCCAGTCAGGGTCCTCTAAGCCATTCACCCTTCAGGGAAGCACCACCTATGGTGGATCACTCCAGCCTCAAGATACCACAAGTCAGTTTGCCTCTGGGTCTCCATCCTCCTATAATGGTCATTGTGTATCGTTGTCCTCGCCCCAAGGTGTTGCCGACCAGTCCAGCCAAGCATTTCAAAGCTTTTCTGGGTCCCAAAGCCAAAAGTCTCAAAGATGGCAGCCTTCACGAGGTATTCAGACCTCAGGTGCAGCTGCATCACAGGGCAGCTCTCTGTCTCAAAGCTCTCCAATGCAGAGTTTGTTTCCTTCCCTGTCATCAGCAGGAGGCTCATCTTCAGGAGATCCTGGACCGTTTGTTTCTGCACAGGGTGGTAGCAGCAGATATGGTGGCTTTTCTCTTCATTCTCAAAGCCCCTCTAGCAAGTACACCCCTGGGTCTCATGCATATGCCAAGCTTGCTTCCTCTCCCCTAGCTGTTTCTAGCCAGTCTACCAGTGATAAGCGGTCAAATGGCCTGTATAGCTCAGACTCTCTGCGAACCCTGGGTCTCATTGGTGTAGTTGAAAGACCCTCTAGACTCCCATCTCAAGCTCCTTCTGACTCTACAAGCAGTAACCAGATATCTGAGCATTTTGTGGCCATGCAACGCCCCACAGGTTCAAACCTAACTCCATCTCTAGGCTTGAGTGCCCAAGCATCATCTGTTGGCATGTTCTCTGGTATCCCACAGACTGCGCAGGCTCTACGTGAATCTGGGTCAGATGTCCAGCTATACAATCGACCATTCCTCAATCAGCTATACTCCGTAAAGGGCTAAGGGACTCTATAAAACAGCTACATTATGCAAAGTGATGTCTTCCAGAATATAAAATCTAATAAATGTTTGTAACAGGTTTTTTTCTTGTGCTGTTTTGTGTTTAAGCTACATTCAAAGGATAGAACCTCAAATTTGAATGTTTTTGCACTTATGCCAGATCTATTAATATTCATTGGTTTGTCCATTGATTCAAATAAAGAATTTAATACATGGTTGATCAAATTAAGTTTATTGGGCAAGTGAAAAACCATTGCAAAAATGATCTACTGGCCAGAGATTCAAATCAATAACTTTACTGAACTTAACCTGAGGTTAAAAACTGAAGATAAAAATAGCTTCTAGACTAAAAGATTTGTTATAAACTGAAGTCTGTGTAGTAGTTGGTGGGGCTACAGGGTTTAAGTGGGAGAAACCAATGTGCCAAAGTTCACCACTTAACATCCCATCTTACAGCTGAAGATTCCCAGCGAGAGGAAAATGTCAGGACAAAAACAATAAAATCCTGCCCTCTTTGTCTGGTCCATAACATGTTTGGTCCATTGTACTTAAGAAATTCAGTGTTTGATATACCATGCCGATAGAAATGGACAACATGTTCTCATGAGTATTCGTATGTATTTTGCCACACGTACATTTACTTGTGTTCCCATAGACACTGAAACCTACAATATTGACGTATTGACAGGACTATAACATCAATTATTTACGTATGAACAACTTTACAGACTTACAAATGTGTATAAAATCCTTATTTATGAACATTAAAATTGTGGCAATATCTCGATTCTATTGTATTCAATTGTCATATCAATGACATTATGTTTTCAGTCACATTTATGAGAAACTGTTTACTCATCCACTTAATTTGGGGTCATTAACCTGCTCAAAAACACTTTGCACACGTTGAAATTGTCGGCCATCAGGGTCACTGATGACACAAGTGACCACACAAGATGACATGGTGGGGTCATGGGTTGTATTTGAGGGGCTCTGTAGCGCACCCCTTTTTACCTAAAGTAGCCAAACTTCATACACTTATTGATCTCATTGGGCCAAACAAATTTTCGATCAGATTTTCAATATCCCGAACGGTTTGGCTGTGGCAAGGCAACAAATTTATGGCAAAAAAAAAGGAAACAGGAAGTGTGTTATAACTTCTGCATACATTGTGTCACCGAGGCTCACCCCAATCGACCTGATGGTGGTGCTACAATGATCAAAAGTACATAATGGGTCATAAATCCTAAACCATTTGTCACAGGCTCAAGTGTCTTATATCATTGGAATCCTTGACAGAAAGCATGTCTTGGAATGATGTCATACTGGTAAAATTCAGGGGAATGTTTTCAAGAAACCTGTATACTTTTGTGAGCTAAACCTAGGTTTTTTGCCCGATCGGAACCAAACACATGCAAAAAGATTCTCTAGAGTCTGGTTGTCCATTATCAAGCCAATTTCCATTCACATTTGCAACAGGGCGCCAGAATGTTTGACGTGGGCGTGGTTACTTCTACTAAAACGACCATCCCTCTTGTACACATGTATGGGCTCAGTCTGGGGTCGTGTGAAAAATGACGTGGTGACTAGGGGTAGGAATCACAGGATAGGCTACGAAAGTTATCTTTGTAGATATCATTCTTTGTGTGAACAGGCCTTTATTGTTTACATTAGGTAGTACACATGCACAAATCAGGATGACTGATAAAAATGAAAGATTGAGAAGGGTATATAGATATGTTCAGAATAGCATACTACCATAACATGCAAATTATCCCAGAATGCAACACACTGTACCTTCCATGAGAAATTTAATTCTCATGTTTTGATCCAACTGCAGACGTAAATACATTTTTACACAAAATTAAATAAAAAATGCAAAAACAGCTTTTTATTTCTTTGATGATTGCGGAACGTAAATTGCTGAATTAAACAAACAACGTTTATGGTTGTTCTGTTTGACAAACTATTTTAAAAAGTATGGCTCCGTCCGAAATCACATAGCTACTTTGAACTACATAGACTTTGAACTTAAACATGACTGGGGCATCTATTATTGTAGGCTACTCGCACTGATTTCCACCATCCCGATAAAAGCCTCTTTTTCTTAGGCTAGTTAACTTATGTCCACGTTTCACGTTTACATGTTGAGCGCCACCTTGAGGACCCATGAAGTAGCGACGCTGGGAGCAGGGAAATCTATTTAGAGCGCCTTATTTTATTTAAAAAAATATCGCTATTTGACGCCAGCGTATCGATTATCGTATCGCACAGAGCATCAAGGCGTTCCTCCTAAACTTACAGCTCCTCTGGGTAGACCCATGCAGGAAGTCTAAGTTATTTGCCTTCAAGAGCACCTGAGGGGCCTGACAGAGCCCACCAGTCCTACTCTCCATCGTCGTCCTCCTCAGTTTCTACGGAGAAAGGGACCGCTATAGTGACCGAGATCACTGTGCTGCTTCACAAACTATTTGTGAACTTAACTATATTTTCTTTAACATTCTCCAGCATGTTTTAATGTGTGCTATGTCATGTTTCAAACGCCAACATTTTTTTAAGTTCTTAATGTCTAATGAGCTTAACTTTTGTATTTTAAATTAAATTGTTTTAGTAGACTGTTCAGATTATAGTCTTTCAGTGCTGAGCAGCGTATAGTATGCCACAAACACTCTGATCAACCTAAACATAACAGTTGCAATGGGGAGAAAAAATATCAGTGAATCTATAATCAAATAATGTTATGATCCTGCATTCCTTTGATTCTGAACTAAATTTCTCCATTTCAGACCCCCGTGAAGATTGCTGTTGATGTGAGGGAAGAACGTTTGTTATAATCTAAACCTGAAACATACTAAACTTTATTATTCTGGATACTCTAGTGTGCAATTCTGTCTGTGGCCATGTTTCTGAATTAATAAAAAAGGAAGAAACAAAAAGACTTTTTTGATCTAAAGACATTTTGTTATCTAAAATAAGCAATCATTTGGTTTAGCTACTAATAACATGCCCTTATATGTAAATTCATTTTATTCTGCGTAGTAAAGAATCAATGACTTTCACCTGTGACATATTGATTGAGTAAATTGGCAGGTCTAGAGAAAAATGATGCTTGTCACGAGAGAGGTGGAGCCTTTCTGATTTACATCTGCATAAATTGGGATGGTAGCACCCTAATGTGTCATTGAAACAAGCTTGGCAATAATGGGGTTTTGGCAGGTGTAACGGTGGTCAGGCAGTGAAGGGACTGAAACCAGAACTGGCTTTTCTCACATTTATTCCTTTGGAGAATCTTTGGAAAAATCAGAACAAAACATGCCTTCAGGCACTGGTGTACATATAACAGCATCCGATGTAAAGCATCCCGCTTCTCATCTCTTTGGTAAATTGTTACAAAAGAAACATTCATACAGAAGGATACACCTTTAGCATACAAGAAGGGTATAAAATAAACATAAGAAAAATAAACACAGGAAAATATTTCCTCATTCTGAAACTAATTCACATTTAACATATGAAGCAACATACCTTTGGAAAAATCAGAACAAAACATGCCTTCAGGCACTGGTGTACATATAACAGCATCTGCACATACAAAAATAAAAGAAATACACACTGAATACACGGCTAGTTACTAGCGGAGTTTACAGCTAGCCACGCTAGACTCAGAGTGTATGAAATCGTGGTCATAATGAAAGCATTAATAAACTTTCTCTAAGTTGCTGAAATTGCACCTGAATCTTAACAATACATGTAAAATAATATAACACAGATCATATGTCGAAGTTTTCAACTTTAAACGGCATTTTACAGTTATATCATTAAAACAAAGTGAGAGTGCTTTATACAGTGAACCTACCCGATGTAAAGCATCCCGCTTCTGATCGGGTATGGCAACAACACAAGGACAAAACGCAGCAGAGCTGCAGTACACCGTTTCTCCAAAGGAGGGCTCCAAAACACCAAACTCAATACAGCTGCTTAATTATGGTGAAAATCACATACAAACACTAACTGACATTTCTAACTCTGTTACACCCACCTCCCCTGAATTTCACCAAATTTGAGCGGCAATACTTTAAGTACATTACTTTCTAACACTAGACAGAGGGTCACCAATTACAGGACAGCCAACCCAAAGGTATCCAATAAGGATGAAGTGGAAGAAGAGGTGCGCAAACTCTCCAACCAACCACTGGCAGTAGGGTGCCTTATACACCCCACAAGACCCACGTATACTGTGTACTAAAGCCACTAAGAAAAGTAAGGAAAACAAAAACAGATAAACATTTCTTTTAATAAAGCTCACCAGAAAAGCTTGGACCATATAACCAATGTTACCAAACGTGTGTATGACCTCAACTCTAAGTCTAGTCATGAAAAACCTAAAACACTGACTTCCAGATAGCCGTCATAGACGGATGTGCGTGAATAATATCTTGCCTTGACATAGTTTGAATTAGTCTGTCAACTGGCTTAAGAATGCGACCAAATCTAGACCTCACCTGTGTGAACGTACTAGGATTTTCAGACTGTGAAACAGAAGCTACTGTGTCAACACTATCCATGTCATTAGCTTTGTCTATCTGTGTTACAACAGTCTGTCCATCCATGTTGCTGGCAACAACTGTACTACCGTCAGTGCTTGTCACAGGTGAAGAGTCAGAGGCCATGAACTGGTCTCCTATCTTGTCCTCAGATATTACCGGGTCACTTTGAGAGACAAGAGGAACTGATTCTATTCCTCCATTATCAGCTGACTCAGCTTGCGGGGTATCAGGGAATGGTGATAGTGCAATCCACTCTACAGTTCGTCCCTCAGAATCCACTTGCCCTGGAACAGTTATGGAATCAGATTCAACTCTCCCTCCCTCTGTTCGTCCCATCCGTTCTCCCTGAATTCCCGGGCTAGAAATTAGATCATCACAGTCCTCACTCATGTCGTCACGCAAATGACTTTGTCTCACTATTGACACTGAGTCCTCACTTGGGTTTGACTGCTGAACAGAAGACAAAGATGAGACTGGGTCATAGATCACACTTGTGTTTTCCACAGGCAGGAAATTCACCAACATCAACAGATTACGGTGTACGACTTTCTCCCGTCCAGAGACTGTGTCACATATCCTGTAAGTGTGTGTTTCGGTGTTCCTGTCTACTACAGTGTACACAGTCGATTCCCAACGATCTGCAGTCTTCCTCTTTCCTCTTTCCTTTTTGTTAGCCATTAATACACGGTCACCAACTTCAATGGTAGGGCCCTTGACCCTCCTGTTGTAGATCTCAGTGTGACGGTGCTGTTCTTTCATGACATGTTCCTGAGCTATTAACATAGCATCTTGTAGATCTTTCGTCAGAGATGCAACATACTTGTCATAGCTGACCACAGCTGGATCATTCAGAACAGTACGGAAAAGGACATCGACTGGCAGACGAGGAGTCCGTCCAAACATCAAATAAAAAGGCGCATATCCTGTTGTCTCATGAACTGAGCTGTTGTACATGAATGTGAGGGTCTGAAGACGTCTTGGCCAATTGGCTTTTGTGTCTGGAGCAAGTGCACGGATCATATTGCCAAGGGTCCTATTAAAACGTTCCACGCTCCCGTTACCCATAGGGTGATACGGTGTGGTGTGTGATTTCCTAATACCAGAGACTCTAAGTAGCTCGCTGATCAGTTGACTCTCAAAACTAGCTCCTTGGTCACTGTGGATACGTTCTGGAAACCCAAATACACAGAAGAACTTGTCCCAGAGGACTCTCGCCACCTGCTTTGCTGATTGATCCTTGCAGGGGAATGCCTGGGCCATCCTTGTAAAGTGGTCAGTCACCACCAGCACGTCGACCGAATTATTCCGTGCATCCTCTGCTGACCAAAAGTCAATACAAACAAGCTGTAGAGGCCTGGTGGATGTGATGCTTTCCAAGGGTGCCCTGCCAGCAGGTTCGGCTGTCTTGCCGACGATGCAACGCCTGCAGTTGCGGACATAATCCCTCACGTCCCTGTCAAGACTAAGCCAAAAGAACCTCTGCCTAGCCAGCCCAAGACTTCTGAACTGACCCTGGTGACCAGCATCGTCATGAATACCTCTCAGGACAACAGCTTTAAGTGACTCAGGGACTACATACTGGTGACGCTTTGACTTTGTGGTCTGGTCTCTTGAAACTCTGTAGAGTATCCCATTGCTCACGATAAGCTTCTCCCAGTGCTTTAAATATCTCAAAACAGTGACTGATTCTTTCACTCGCTCTCTCCTGGATGGTCTGCGATGTCTTTCCACATAATACAAGACTCGAAGAAGGGCTCCGTCAGCGAGCTGTTCATCACGAAGTTCCTTCTCTGTGTAAGCAGGCAGTGAATCCTGACCATCAGGGACAAACTGTGGCACGTGGTGCAGAGCGGCAACAGCACGGGTTCTTGCTCCAGTCTCCCACTCACTGTGTGACTGCAGGACAGCAGATATATCATCCATCCCAATGGACTGAGTGTGAACACATAAAGGAGCAGACATACTCCCAACACGATCATCACCTTGCTGTAGATTCCCATCATAGGCACTGGAGTAGCGAAAGGTGTCTTGAACAGAGTCGCACGTCAAACCTTGGACCTCAGAGAGAAGTGTGGTGTAAGGCTCCTGAAGCAATCTAAGACTGACTCTCTCTTTCACAAAAGGCACACGGCTTAGGGCATCGGCAACAACATTCTGTGGACCTGGAACATACTTTATATCAAAGCTGTAGCTGGCTAGCTTGGCCACCCAACGTTGCTCACAGCAATCCAACTTGGGCTTTGTCATAATGTGGGTCAATGGATTGTTGTCCGTCCACACCGTGAACACATGACCCTTCAACCAGTGGCTGAACTTGTCACAGATGGCCCACTTCAATGCCAAGAATTCTAACCGGTGTGCTGGGTAATTCTTCTGAGACAGAGAAAGTGATTTGCTGGCAAATGCGATGGGCCTTGCCCTTGTTTCTCCCTCCTTGATCTGCGATAAAACGGCACCAATACCGTCAAGAGAAGCATCCACAGACAGCATAAAAGGACGGGTGAAATCTGGGTGAGCAAGGACAACTGTTTCGGCCAGTGACAATTTCAGTTTCTGGAAGGCTTGCTCCATGTCAGGGGTCCAGTCAGCGGTACTCAACTTCCTGCTCTGAGACCTGTGTTTACTCATTGGCTTCTGCTTACTTTTTCGTTTCTGGCCTGACAACAGAGAAAAGAGTGGCATAGCGATAGCTGAGTAATTGGGTACAAAGTGTTGGTAGTAATTGATCATACCCAAGAAGGACCTAACCCGTTTCGCTGAGGGAGTCACACCGTCTAATTCCATGAGGTCAGCACTTGTCATTTTCATGATGCCCTCAACCTTGCTGGGATCAGTCGACACACCAGCTTCATCGACTATGTGCCCAAGGAACTTCACAGCCTTTCGAAGGAAAAAGCACTTTTTGGGGGCTAAGTTCAGGTTGTGGCTACGTAATCTGCTAAACACCACCTCCAAACGTTGTAGAGCAGTCTCTTCATCAGGAGCAAAGACAAGCAAATCATCTAAGTAGCAAAGCAAACTCAGATAGTTCTGATCTCCAAAAATGCTAGTCATCATACGCATAAAACTTCCAGGGCTATTGCAGAGACCTTGTGGCAAACGATTGTACTCGTATAAACCCATTGGAGTGGTGAAGGCAGAGTACTTTTTGTCATCTTCGTGCAATGGCATGTTATAGAACCCGGAAGTCAAATCCATGGTACTAAAAAGAGCGTTTCCTCCAAGTGCTGCTAGGCAGTCGGCCTGGTGAGGGAGAGGGTGAGCATCTTTAAAAGTTCGCTTGTTCAGCCAGCGAAAATCCGTACAGATTCGGAGATCCCCATTCTTTTTCCAAACGAGAACTAATGGAGACGCATATTCACTGGTGGACTTCCTAATGATTTCCCTCTCTTCCATCTCACTCAGCACTTGGCGCAGCTTCTGATATTGACTTGGGGGCACCCGCCTGAAAGGGAGTCGGAATGGCCTGTGATCGGAGAGGTGAATGCGATGGACAAAATCTTTTGCCTCTCCACAGTCCAGATGATGACGTGAGAAGATATCATTGTAGCGCACAACCAGTTCAGTCAGCTTGCTTTTGCACTGCTCGGACACTTCACAGCCGTTTATGTCAATCTCACTCAATCCAGCTGCCTTGAGTTTGTCGTCAACAGAACATGCTTTATTCTCAGATCTACTAGCTGCTAAAGAACACCTGGCCATTGAAACCCCAGTGTGTGTGTCATCCATATCTTCAAGGGCAATGCAGGGAAAAACGTCAGCTAACTTAGCATTGCGTCTCACCAAGACGGGTTTATCAGAGGTGTTGATCAGCTTTAACGGAACCCATCTGTCTCCCCACAAAGACGTCACCATTCTTGCCACCAGAATTCCCCTTGGAGCTGAGCGGCATGATGTGAGTTCAGCCATCACAGTGCTACCAGGAGATACAGCAGCCGACTTGGGTAGCTTTCCCCACATCAAGTACTCACGACCAGGTTCAAGACACACTGCCGAGTTGCTTCTCACAGTGCCTATCTTGGAGGGAACTTCCTCACCTCTCCAACGGTCCACACCAGCAAGCATGGAGAGAAACTGTTCAGATTCTGGATCACCAGCAGGACAAGGGGCAGACACAGCTTTCCAATAGACATCACACTGCTTATACTGATGAAGAACATGCTTGATTACATTGGTACCTAATATCATTTCATCATGCTGGCCCTGGACAACTAGAGTAGGAACTATGATCTTGCAGCCATACACCTCCATCCGAAGATCAACAGCTGACTTTGGCATGACGCGACGGCCACCACAGCCAATGAGGACAACATCCGTACTGTACTGATCATGTGCTGTCAAAGCTCCAGCTTCTCTAAGCTTCATCTCAGCAGTTTCACTTATGGTACAAGCCATAGAGCCACTGTCTAGCATAGCGTTCAGGGTCACTGTATTATCAATCATCACAGGAGTATAAAAAAGACTGTCACTGCCGACAACTTTGTGTATGTTCTGAAAGACAACAGTTTGAGTGTCATTACAAGCCACCTTGTTCATCATGTAAACGGTTTCTGCATTTGAAATATTTTCACTTCGGGAGTTAAAATTATGACCCATACTGTCTCCCTCTGAATATGAGTCTACTAGTTTCCCTTAGACTGAGGCTCAGGGGAAGACCTGGTGGGGCATCCCACCCGTGTGTGGCCTGGGGCAAGGCAAGTGAAACACAGCTTCTCTGACATGCAATGGGTGATGGTGGTGTGCTTGCTGTCACCACAGACACGACAAGCTCTCTCTCGATTACCACCCTGGAATCTTCCGCCACGAACACTGCTGCGCTGCTGCACTTTCCCCATCATCTGCTCTAACATGGCCATCATACGAGACATAATTCTATCCTCAGTGTCTTGACTATTCTGTAATACAGCTGGCGTAGAGGCACATGAGCGGGGGCATGGAGTCTGATGTGAGGTGCAGCTCTGACTTGAAACTGTGACAGAAGAGGGACACTGCTGGTGACACATTGGACTAGGTACTGGAGCAGTAGTGATGGTAGTGCACTGAGCGTGACGCTGCTCAGGCACAGGCTGAATGTAAGTCGCTGGGTTAGGCTGCATGTTGGCAAGGGTGGCGGTGTGGCTCTTTACCCGCACATCTGCACAGGCCCTTCCAGAGGCCCTTAGCTCTCTCTGATAGTCATCAATTCTCAACTGTATGTCACGTGCACTCCACTCATGGATGGGCTTACACTTAAAGATGGAGGAGAGTTCTGGGTCGGGACAATGCTTGACAAACATACGCGTCACCTCATCACCGGAATCCTCCATCCGCCTGCCTTGCCTGCGGAGGCCTTCATCAGCCAGATCAGCCGCTCTGTTTACTCTCAACCAGTAATCAACTGGGCTTTCGCCAGGTCTGGGCAGAGTGGAGTAAAAATCTGCAAGTGGGAGACATGAGGACACATCACTGAAATACTGGAGGAGAATATCATAAATGAGGCCAGGGTTCTGTTTCACGTCGAGAGTCTGATCACTGCGCAGGGCAACCTTCACCACATCTCTTGCTTTGCCCATCAACTTCCCCATAATCTCTTCTGCCTGCTCATCCACAGGGCACC